GGGGATGACAGAGGACGAGATGGTTGGACAGTGTTCTCAAAGCTACCAGCATGAGTTTGACCAAACTGCGGGAGGCAGTGGAAGACAGGAGTGCCTGGCGTGCTCTGGTCCAGGGGGTCACAAAGAGTCGGACACGACTAAACGATTAAACAACAACAACAACACATTGATTATTGCCTTCATTTTATGGATCTATGGTCTCGTTAGACAGTAAAATCAGTGTTAAATTGCTGTTTTAGGGCGTGTTTTTCATCGTCTAGAACGGATCAATTCACTTTCCCATTACTTTCTATGGAAAAGTGAGCCTCTACTTATGTACATTTCTAGTTATGACCAGACCTCCGGAACGGATTATGGTTGTAAGTAGAGGTTCCACTGTATAGATTTGGAACAGTGGTTTACAGAGGGGCAAATTTCAGAAGGCAGAAGCTGGGAAATGCTGGACAGAGAACAGCTAGGAGAAGAAGCACTGGAAGAGAGAGGGTTAACAGATTCACAGTCTCTGGACAGCATTCCTCTGCTCAGCCCAAGGTCAAGAAGAGCTCAGAAAGTCTCAGAACAGAAAGCACAGAGGGTACAAACTCAGATTACAAGATGTAGGAGTGATGTAGATTAATAAGGACAAAAGGGGGAGTGATCCTTAATTGGGAGCACCGCCATTTCTAGGAGATGTGTTTGTTGTTCTCTCACTGTGATTATGAAAGTTTCTAACTGGTAAGACGTTCCTTTCTTTGATCTTCTTATCTACTGCCATGGGGGGAGGAAGCCGATTCCCTGAAGCCTGACACCCATCAACATTGAGGGGGGCAGCCCCCTACCAACAGATATGGGGGCACAAAGACACCTTGGCCCCATAGAGTTGGTGCCCCTGTTGTGTGTTTGCAATAGGATTAAAACCCATTGAAGTCAGATAGACAGCATCTACCACTCCTGCCACTGCAGAGGGCTCTCATGTACCCTTGGCTCTTGTCTTCGTACTTCTCCTAGTGCCCCTTGTAACACTTCACTGTGGGCTGGTCTCTCCTCTCATCCTCACCCTTTAGGTTCCTAAGAACACCAAGCCACTCTTGTTTACAGAGCAGAACTGGGGGGGGGGGGTCCTTTGTTCTCAGACTTTGGGAGGCTTGTTTAACACAGGACCGTCTTTTGGGCTTCTACTATCTCCTTGTGCTGAGGTTCCTTCTCCTGCGGGAGTGGGTTGCACTGTGGTCTAAACCACTGAGCCTCTTGGGCTTGCTAATCAGAAGGTCGGCAGTTTGAGTCCATGTGATGGGGTGAGCTCCCATTGCTCTGTCCCAGCTCCTGCCAACCTAGCAGTTCGAAAGCACTCCAGTGCAAGTAGATAATTAGGTACTGCTGTGGCAGGAAGGTAAACAGCATTTCTGTGTGCTCTGGCACTCATCACTGTGTCCCGTTGTGCCAGAAGCAGTTTAGTCATGCTGAGCACATGACCCGGAAAGCTGTCTGTGGACAAATGCTAGCTCCCTCAGCCTGAAACGAGATGAGCGCTGCATCCCATAGTCACCTTTGACTGAACTTAACCATCCAGGGGTCCTTGACCTTTACCTTTTTTTTTGCTTCTCCTACTTTCTCCAAGGCTTGCCACACCCAGCCAGTGTGGTGTAGTGGATAAGAGCAGTGGAGTTGTAATCTGGTGAACCGGGTTCGCGTCCCCGCTCCTCCACATGCAGCTGCTGGGTGACCTTGGACTAGTCACACTTCTCTGAAGTCTCTCAGCCTCACTCACCTCACAGAGTGTTTGTTGTGGGGGAGGAAGGGAAAGGAGATTGTTTGCCACTTTGAGACTCCTTAGGGTACTGATAAAGCGGGATATCAAATCCAAACTCCTCCTCCTCCTCCTCTCCTCCTCCTCCTCCTCTTCCTCTTTCCATTCATACCACTCTTCTGTTCTGCAAGGACATATTTAGATTGTATATTTTTTGCTGATGCTGGAAAAGGGGCAGGATCCAGAATAGCAGAAAGACTGTAAGCTAGGGACCTTAGAAAGCAAGAAGGCTGAAAAAAATGGGATGTTGAGCTTCATATAAAGTATATTTTTTGCTTGAGGTGTCCAGCTCATATAAGAAGACAGGCAGATTATGTTTCCAGGACATGCATAAGGCTTCTCCTTCTCACACACACCCTTCAATATATACAGCTTTCAGATGATTTAGAGAATAGACTCACATCTTTCATTTGAGTTCGTTGAAGGATTCAGCCTGGCTCAATTACTAAAGATAAGTTTCTAAGGCGTCTCCATAAGGAAGCCTTTGTTCCAGACCTACTTAAAAATAAAAGATATTTTCCTGACACCTGTAGTCTACACTCTCTCCAGTGCCTGGGACTGTTTGGGTTTTGTCCTGGAGTAATGATAACACTGACCCATTCTCAGGTGTTGGAAGAAACATCATCCCATCCTGCTGGAATGCCCATTAGTGCTCCAAAACGGCCTTGTTAAATCTTACAACAGATGCCACATTTGCTCATAATGATGTTGATGGTGCCTAGAAGGGATCTTTATTCCGTTATATTCCCTGACGTTCCCCTGGAGAAAAAAAGTTTCCAGTTAATGAGATCTTCTTTGGGTTTATTACACACAAGGCTGAAAGGATGAAAAGATCAAGGGTATTAATAAAGCTACTCCGCTTCTCCCGAGCACCCAGCCAGCAATTCACTTTTTTGTGATATAAAGGAAGGTGCTGCGGTTGCCTGTGATAGATGAAGCAAACAATGACTGTTTCCCAAATAGACCCAATTAAGCTTCTATACTAACAGTGATCTTGGTGCTCACAGGCTGATGGTCAAGGAGTCTGTTTGGAGGGGAAGCCATGGAAACCAGGAGTCCTGATCATCAGTAGAGACCCAGTAAGCTTGCAAAAAGAGAAAAAGGAAAAGTCCACTAGCTTAGAGCATTTGATTTAGAGGGATTCTTGCAGTAGACAGAGTTAGCTTTAGGGAAGGACCTTTGATTGAAGAAGGTCCCATGTTCAATTGCTTGGTACAGCTGGGAGAGACTCCTGCCTGAAACCCTGGAGGGCCGCTGCAGGTCAGGGTAGACAATACTGATCAAGGCAGCAGCAAAATATGTGCATCACTCATCTATTTCCCAAGAGTTGCCTCTGAACTTGCTGGTGAAAGGGAGATAACACACCTGAGAAGGGAGGGAGCTCTACAACTTAAAGGCCACCACTCCAACGGCCTTTCCTGTTGATCTTCAGAATGGGAGTATGTGCTCCTTCAGATGAAAATGTAAAGGGACCCCTGACCATTAGGTCCAGTCGCGTATGACTCTGGGGTTGCGGCGCTCGTCTCGCTTTACTGGCCGAGGGAGCCGGCGTACAGCTTCCAGGTCATGTGGCCAGCATGACTAAGCCGCTTCTGGCGAAACCAGAGCAGCACACAGAAACACCGTTTACCTTCCCACCAGAGCGGTACCCATTTATCTACTTGCACTTTGACATGCTTTGGAACTGCTAGGTTGGCAGGAGAAGGGACCGAGCAACGGGAGCTCACCCCGTCGCGGGGATTCAAACCGCTGACCTTCTGATCGGCAAGCCCTAGGCTCTGTGGTTTAGACCACAGTGCCACCTGATATTTGGGCCTAAATTTTTTAGGGTTCTATACAGTGGTACCTTGGTTTTTGAACAGCTTAGTTCTCAAACAACTTGGAACCCGAATGCTGCAAACCCAGAAGTAAGTGTTCTGGTTTGCAAACTTTTTTTTGGAAGCTAAACATGCGCCATTTTTAGCGTTACGCTTCCGATTTGAGTGCCACACTTCTGTTTTATGTGCAACGCTTCCGTTCAGAGTGCTACACTGAAGTCTGTCTGTTTTTGCTATTTATTTTGCATTTTTGTTTTTGTGGCTTTCTGTTCTGTTTTTTGTGACTGTGTGGAACGCAGTTCAGCTACTGACTGATTGATTGTGTGACTGCGGAAATGGATAAAAGCTGCAAAGCCAAGAGAACCATTAACAATAGAGGTAAATTGTTAAATTGCTGTTTTAGGGGTTGTTTTTAAAAGTCTGGAATGGATTAATCCATTTTGCATTACTTTCTATGGGAAAGCACACCTTGGTTTTGGAACGCTTTGGTTTTGGAATGGACTTCCAGAACAGATTAAGTTTGAGAATGAAGGTACCTCTGTATATCTTCTCAGGGGGACCCTGTAAGGTGCCCAGTTCCCATTCGCAAGCTTATTTTGACTCCATAGTCTGGAAAGCCACCCACCATTTGAATTTCCCACAGTGCCCTGGAGTGACTCTATGTCTGGTAATCTGGAGCAGTGTAGAAAACTCAAGGGTGAGACTGGGTCCTCGTACCCAGCCACCACTGCCAAATGAGCCCATGACCAACCAAGGGAGCACCTTGGACTACTGCAATGCGCTCTATGTGGGGCTACCTTTGAAGGTAACCCCATGTAGATAGTTAGTTTAGATAGTTAGTTAATCTTCCCCACGTAGATTAGTTGAAGATAACTACAACTAATCCAGAATGTGGCAGCTAGACTGGTGACTGGGAGCAGCCGCCGAGACCATATAACACCAGTCTTGAAAGACCTACACTGGCTCACAGTATGTTTCTGAGCACAATTCAAAGTGTTGGTGCTGACCTTTAAAGCCCTAAACAGCCTCAGTCCAGTAGACCTGAAGGAGCGTCCCCACCCCCATCATTCTACCCGGACACTGAGGTCCAGCACCGAGGGCCTTCTGGCGGTTCCCTCACTGCGAGAAGCCAATTTACAGGGAACCAGGCAGAGGGCCTTCTCAGTAGTGTCAAAGAGAACAACAACTACCAGACTTTTAGAAGACATCTGAAGGCAGCCCTGTTTAGGGAAGCTTTTAATGTTTGATGTATTACGGTATTTTAATATTTTGTTGGAAGCCACCCAGAGTGGCTGGGGAAGCCCAGCCAGATGGGTGGGGTATAAATAATAAATTATTATTATGATGATGATGATGATGATGATGATGATGATGAAAAGAAGCATCAGTATTGATGAACGTGGCACAGGGGCCCGATGCATCTGGCTGTTAACCAGAAGGTTGGTGGTTTAAGCCCACCCAGAGATGGCTGTGGGCAGAATTCCTGCATTACAGGGGGTTGGACTAGATGACCCTTGGGGTCCCTTCCAGCTCTACAATTCTATGATTCTATGGACCCTAGATGAGTGTTTGGGCCCTTGCAGATGCCCATGGGCATCAATTGTTGGGGTCAGCATCCCAACAGAGGAGCACAGTCATCAGCCAGTCAGCTCACAAGTCGCTTACACTTTCTCCAACATTTTTTTTAAAGTTTTCTTTTAGGTGTGGCTCCTAATCCACCATTCTTCACCAGCTGGCAACAACTGTCACAAATGCAAATTGGGGCTTTACTCCAGATTAGGCCTCCTCGTTATTCAGAGCCGGTAGGAGAAACACACATTTTCAAAAGAGCCTTGTTCATGAAAGAGACTCGGAAGGCATAGCTGTCATATACAAATCTTGTAAAAATATGAGGGGAATTTAATGCCATTCTAATATCTTGGAAGGTAAATTATTAATGTTCCCTGGGAAAGAGGAAAAATGCCGTCTACTAGGTTAAACACACAACCTGTCTTGAATGACATTCCGGTACCCTTGCTTTGAAAGTTAAAGAGAAAGTAAAGTCAACAGTATCTTTAGAAAGTCAAGTGTGGAATGCTAAGGGAAACTTGGCAGCTGAATGAAAGATTCACCTCACTTATCATAATCTCTTCTTAGTCTAGTTGTAAATTTTCAGTTTAAGACTCATCTGCCAAAGATCTCTTCTCTTGGAGAAGGTTCTGGGGTGTGTTTTAGAAGCAACCTTCTTCAACCTTGGGTCCATAGATGTTGTTGGACTACAAATCCCATCATCCTGGATCATTGGCTACACTGGCTGGGGATGATGGGAGTTGTGGTCCAACAGCATTCACCAAGACTGTTGGGTTTCTCCAATTCTTTCCATATAAAGTTGTACCTTGGATCCCGAATGCCTTGCGAGTCAAACGTTTTGGCTCCTGAACACTGCAAACCTGGAAGTGAGTGTTCCGGTTTGTGAACATTCTTTGGAACCTGAATGTCTGGTGCAGCTTCCATGGCTTCCAATTGGGTGTAGGAAGCTCCTGCAGCCAATCGGAAACCGTGCCTTGGTTGTTGAACATTTTTGGAAGTCAAACAAACTTCTAGAATGGATTCTGTTCAACGACCAAGGTACGATTGTACTTGAAAGTGCACTCTAGATTATAAACATTGTGGATAATTAATTATTTTTTTCCCATGGACAGCAGTCTAAGGTGAGACATGGAGATGAAGAGTCATAGGAGCAGCCAGCAATCAAAACCAAGGAGTAATTCAGAATCAGGAGTCAGGATTAAGGAATAACTGAAAATATAAATCAAAAAGAAGAAAGATGGAGAAGTTCTTCTACATTGGTTTCACTTAGTAAAAACATGCCAGGCAATTCAGAACCACACAAATCCAGGGTAAACTTTGGATGAGGAGGGCAATTCTGGAACAGCCCTATGTGATGTCTTTTTAGGAGAACAATACTGTTTTATAATGTGGTGCATAGTATGCCTCATATCCAGCAAGGAGTATAAAGGCTTTATCAAACAACAATTTAGATCTTTAGGGTAAGGAATTCCTTCTCCTGCTCAGAAGCTATTCCCTTAATGCTTGCTTCCTATTGTTTATCAGCGTGGCCATCAGCCAAAGCAACTTGAACCATGAGCTTGTCACATTTTATAAGTAAACCAGGGTCCAATCAATTATTGGACTAAGGTAATCCAAGGATAATATTGGGAAGATTCCAGAGGTTCATCTAGGCAGCTCTTCAGCCATATTCAAGTGTCCTACTCATGGCTGACAACCACATGAGAGCAGGCAGTGGGGTCATGCTATGTAATCTCTCCACCTATTGTCTACACATAGAATGCAAGTGTCTGAATGGAGGGGCAACACTCACAACCCGAACATCCAAGTGTGGTGTTCATGGCAGGCTCTTCTGTGCCTGGAAAGTTCTCTCTGGCCTGAGAAAATACAATGACAGCCATTTCCTAAGGCCTGATCTACACATTGGGTAGAATGAGGTGGAAATGAAAAGGTAGACTCCTGAAGCGGTTGTATGAACTGCACACAAGAACTTAAGAAAAAGCCTGCTAGATCAAGCGATTGAGACAAAGTGGCCAACCAGATGTTTGTGGGAAACTGGTTAAGCAGAGCACAATAGCATTGTCCTCTCCGGAGGCTTCCAGCAGCTGGTTTTCAGAAGCATTACTGCCTTCAACCGTGGAGATAACTCATAGACATTATGGCTAGTAGGCATTGATAGCCGTACCATCCTTGAATTTGCCTGGTCCTCTTTTGAAGCCATCCACATTGGTGTCCATCATTGCCTCCCATGGGAGCAAGACCCATAGTTTAACTGTGTGCTGCATGAAGACATTCTCATATCTGTTCCAAATCTTCCAGCATTTTGTTTCACTGGATTTCCATAAGTTCCAGCATTCCACGAAAAGATTTGTCCTCCATCCAGCCAGCGTGGTGTAGTGGTTAAGAGCGGTAGTCTTGCAATCTGGGGAACCGGGTTCGCTTCCCAGCTCCTCCACATGCAGCTGCTGGGTGACCTTGGGCTAGTCACCCTTCTTTGAAGTCTCTCAGCCCCACTCACCTCACAGAGTGTTTGTTGTGGGGGAGGAAGGGAAAGGAGAATGTTAGCCACTTTGAGACTCCTTAAAGGTAAAGGTACCCCTGCCCGTACGGGCCAGTCTTGACAGACTCTAGGGTTGTGTGCCCATCTCACTCAAGAGGCCGGGGGCCAGCGCTGTCCGGAGACACTTCCGGGTCACGTGGCCAGCGTGACAAGCTGCATCTGGCAAGCCAGCGCAGCACACGGAAACACCATTTACCTTCCTGCTAGTAAGCGGTCCCTATTTATCTACTTGCACCCGGGGGTGCTTTCGAACTGCTAGGTTGGCAGGTGCTGGGACCGAGCAATGGGAGCGCACACCGCCGCGGGGATTCGAACCGCCGACCTTTCGATCGGCAAGCCCTAGGCGCTGAGGCTTTTACCCACAGCGCCACCCGCGTCCCTTTGAGACTCCTTAGGGTAGTGATAAAGCGGGATATTAAATCCAAATTCCTCCTCCTCTTCTTCTTCTTCTTCTTCTTCTCCTCCTCCTCCTCCTCCTCCTCCTCCTCCTCCTCCTCCTCCTCCTCCATGCCATGATGATTTTATAACCATCGATAATATCACCTCTTACTCTCCTTTTCTCAAACTAGTAAACGGTAAAGGGACCCCTGACAGTTAAGTCCAGTCATGGACGACTCTGGGGTTGTGGCGCTCATCTCACTCTATAGGCCGAGGGAGCCGGCATTTGTCCGTAGACAGCTTCCAGGTCATGTGGCCAGCATGACTAAGCCGCTTCTGGCAAACCAGAGCAGCGCACAGAAACACCGTTTACCTTCCCGCCGCAGTGGTACCTATTTGTCTACTTGCACTTTGATGTGCTTTCGAACTGCAGGAGCAGGGACCGAGCAACGGGAACTCACCCCGTTGCAGGGATTCGAACTGCCGACCTTCTGATCGGCAAGCCCTAGGCTCCGCGTCCCGTAGTTTCTCAAACTACGAAGTCCCAAATGCTGCTTCTCATAGAGGAATCACACCATGCCCTTGATCATTTCAGTTCATTTTCTCTGAACCTTTTCCAGTTTACCATATCCTTTTTGAAGTGAGGCAACCAGAACTGTACAGAGTGTTCCAAATGTGGTCATGCTCAGGTTTTTTTTTTTCTCAGCCGGAACTCACCGGAATTCAGTTCCGGCACCTGCCAGGTGGGCGCAACTGACGTTAGAAGAGAACAAGGTTGAGTTCATGGTGAATTCTGGCACCTTTCCCCCCTAGAAAAATACCTTCATAATGCACATGAGGAAAGATATTTTTAATGGCTCTCTTTTTGTTTGTTTGTTAAAAAGCAATAAAAGAGAGTAGCACAGCAGGTTGTGGAAGCTGACCTTTCCCCCTGCTGCATTCTGTATGCCTGCTTGCTTTGCTTCCAGGGAGCGTTTGCATAGAGAAATATTCAAAGTGGCACACCCCCCCCCCAGCCTGCAGAATGAAATGGTACGGTCCTCTCTAGCGCCTTAGGATTCTGTCGCATGATTCTGCTGAGCATTTCAAGCAGTCCCCAGTCTGACATCCAAGCATAATCAGTTCAAGCCACAGATGGGGATAATGAGGGCAATGATTAGGACGGTACCGTTGAAAGTGCATGGACGGAGATTCTCTGGAGAGTGAAACTTCATTCCAAGAACTGTCAGTATGACATGAGGGAGGGGGGAGTACTGACATGGCCTAAAATATTAATGGGATCATTAAAACCCACCATTCTGTGTTATTTAATAATATCCTTCTAATCCCATAACCAGTTCATTGAGACAATCCATCACGCTCTGTACTAGGGGGATGGTGGAGAAGACACAGAAACCAGTGGTGGCCATTCTCTGGAGGGTAGGTATACCAAATGACTCTTATGGAATTTGGACCTCCCCCCTTATCAATACCAGATGGTAAGGACTAACAACAGGGGAAACTCGCCACAAGAGTCTGGCAGCAGGGGTGCAAAGGTAGCCATGCCCCACTGCTTCCTCCAAGGATGCTCCCATTGACTCCAGAGGGCCCAACAGCTATAAGGGGCTGCTGATCATCTCTTTCATCTCCTATCGTCTTGTGAGAGAAGCACTGGATGGAATGGAGTAATGGCTGTCTGCACAAGAGGCTAGCCCAGTGAGTCATAGCTGCAATGCTAGCTTCCTAGCAGCTGTTGTTAGGCTATAGTTCCATTCCACTTTTAGTACTGGCATGTGGAGTTGTTGTATGTCACATGCCTGTTTACTTTCAGCGCAGTCTGCTGGGAACTTCCGTTGTATATAGCTTTTGCCTATGCTGTTTGCTTGGACACGAAGGGAAGCAGACATGTTTTTCCTTTGTCCTGCTATTGAATAAATGCTTGTAAATATGCTTACATATGCCTCTGTCCACTACTTCTGTTGCAAAGAGTTCTTATCTCTGC